TCCTTCAGCCAAATGCGATCTCTTGTGACCACCTAAGGCTTGTCCAGTAGAAAAAGTCTTGCCACATATTGAGCATTTATGACTTTCAGAATTCTCTGGTGATTTTCTAATAGTTTGCATATCGCAATCGTGATTAATCAATTCCTGGTTAGCTCCTTTCATCTTTGTGTGGCTTGTGCTGTGGCCGCCCAGAGCTTGATATGAAGGGAAGCTCCTCTCGCAGATTGTGCAGACATACTTGTTTCTCTTGCGAGATTTATACATTCCATATTCACAATCGCATTGCTTTGATGAACCGCCCGAACTGATATCGCCATGATCACAATTTTTGCGGAAAGATGAGATTTTTCGCTTTTTGAACTGCTGCTGATCTTCATCTTCAGAAGGAAAAGAGTGAACTTTTTTCCCACGTCCAATCATGCGAGAATTCTTATCGGGTAAATCTGGGATTGAATGAGTGCCTCTTGATAACATCAACAGACACAGAGCTCCATTCATTATATCGTTCTCGTACTCCGAGGATGAAGCTAATGGAGCAGAGAAAGCAGAGATCTTCATAGCCTTCTGTGATGTCCTCCTCCGCTTCCTCGCCGGCATTGAAATTAAGGAAACTTCGCTATCAGATTGGCTCGACATTTCCTCGGCTTGCTCATCATAACTTCCTTCGCTCCATAAATCGTCGTCCTGCTCATCATCTCTTGGCATCACAGATGAAGAATTCGCTGAGAAGAAAACCTTCGCTTTCCTGGCATGAACCATATGCTTCTCCTTCTCCGGACACACATCATCAAACCGTTGCAACTTCTTTGGATTATCTCTAAGGTCATATTTACTGACTGGCTTGTCTTCATCCTCCATGGTAGAGCTCGGCACAACATGAGTCCTCATGTGACCTCCAAGTGATCTCCCGCTGGGAAAGCTCCGCCCACATACTTTGCAAATATGCTTCTCCATTCCTGCGCACAAAACAAATGAAAACAGGGGAGGATAAGTACAAGTAGAGAAGAGAACAGAGAACTCAAGTGACGAACAGAGAAGTCAAGTGAGGTGAGTTGGAATTGCGCAATGTGATCCTCTGTATAAACACCTTCTACATTGATCTTAAAGAACCGATTTTGCCTTTTTCGATCTGAAAAGAAGTAATCATGGATGATCCTTTAGCTCCTACTCTGTTTTTATAAGCAATGATACTCCCATCTTTTGCGAGAGAGAGAGAGAGAGAGAGAGAGAGAGAGAGAGAGAGAGAGAGAGAGATGGCTGTACAGGTGATTGTGAGGCGAAATCCATGCAAGGAAGAAAAGTTAAAAGGAGAGATAGGAAGGTGAACAGAGGAAATAGCTGCAACTGGAGAGATCAGAGGATCCTGCGATTAGACGGCTTCGATTACGCCACGTAGAACATGAGAGCATCTAATGCGTTCCTTAATGGCTGGAAAATGAGAGCTCTCTGTAACTATTTTTCCATTCAATATCGCTATCAAAACCGGATAAATGACAAAGTCCAATCAGCCTGATCCGTTCTACAGCCCATAACATGAAACAACAATGAAAAGCTTGCACGTCATGCTTTAAAAATCTAATCCAATGCAAGAGAAAGACTTAGTAAAAGCTCCCATCAAGCGCATATATATTATAGAGCTTTATCACCTACAAAGTATTGTATTTTTAGGCTATAATGGTAATAATAATAGTAATATTACAACTTTGTTCCACGTGGATGATCAGCATTTTGCCATGTGACACTTAGTGGGGGTGCCATTTGAAGTAGTAAGCCATGGGTAATTATGAGATTAAGCCATAGCACCCTAAATATCTATACTCATTAATTTGAAAAGTTTGTTATATATTGTTTAAGATGGTTGAAAATTTCTAATTTTATTTTATTTTATTTTTTTTTAGTTCTATCAACATGTTTATCTCGTAAAAATAACGATTTAACCTCTTAGGAGCAAACACATTCATCTTTTTGTCCAAATTGGGGGGCCGAAGCATATTTTGAAGGTTCAAAGCATTAATGAACACCGTTGCTTATTAACTATAGTCGCTTGGGCAACGGTTGCACATCGACTAATTTTCCTTTGACCATTATCACCCTTTGATTATGGTCATTCCAATCTCTATCGCCGGCCAAGTACGATCTCTCCGACCTCTATCACCCACTAGTAATGATCTATCTGACCATCGTTGCCCATCGACTATGGTCCCTCCGACCAGCTTAACCTACTGATAATTATCCCTCTAACCACATCCTTTCAACTATGGTCCCTTCAACCATTATTTTCAGCTGACTGCGGTCCTTTCGATCTCCATCGCCCACCGACTATAGTCCCTTTGACCTCCATTGCACAACGACTACAGTCCATCCAACAATCATTTCCCTTCAACTACGGTCTCTCCTACAATCGTCGCCTGCCGACTACGATCCCTCCGACCACTATCACAACCGACTACAATCCCTTAGACCTCCGTAACCCGCTTACTATGGTCCCTCTGACTTCTGTAGCCCGCCGACTACAGTCCTACTAACCAAACAAAACACTCTTTTGAGGATAACTCTCCATTAAATTCTTCCAACTCCCATTATGTAATGTGATATATCTAATATATGTTTGCTACATCGAGCCAAGATTTTCCCCTCGAGGAATAGCCTCATTTGTAATCAATAATAAACACTATTATAATCATTTTAACTTTATCAGACCTCATGATTTTCCCCTCTTCAAGATTTTTCACATAAAAATCTTGGTGTCACTTATAAATCGTGCACCTCTCTTTCTTATTTATATGTGTTGGGCCTTCGTGTAATCTTGGATGCTTAACTCTATATCTCTCTACTATCGTGAATGTTCTAGGACAACAATTTGGCATCTTCTATGAGAAAAGATCCTTAGTTAAGGGGCAACCTTTATTGCAACCTTGAAAGGACATTCACGTCAATATCCTATTAAAGCAGGGTAGTCCCTCTATCATGATCTATTATCAAGTCCTGATAAGAAGTCTTTCAATATTGACGACAACATCGCTGCAATAGCAAATACACATTATTTTATCGCCTCTCAATCATCAACCATTATTGCTTCATTTCCATGGGAAGTAGATTAGGATTGGGAGGCAACCTTGGTTGCAATCTCAAATATGAATAAGGTCAAGATAATCCCTCCACTATTTTACTTATCTATAATAATTTTACTGGTAACTATTTATTATAAAGTTTCTCATAAATACAAGAAGGTTTCAAGTGAATCATAAACTATATACAGTCCTCAGCTGAACTTCGAGGACAAGGTCAAAGGCAATAATGGTTTATAAATAGACCAATCTTCCCCTTCAAATCATGAAACACGTGGCATTCCACCTCTCCCAATCAAGCTATAATAGATTCCATGGGGATTCGATTTGACCTATTCAACACAGTTTAACTCCATCAAGTAATGTTTTAATAAACAATCTCGAATTAGTCAAATATCCTTAATTAATATATCTCAAACTTTTTCATATAGGTTAGCATCATCAAGCAAATTTGACAAATAATCTTGGATATGTCAATCATCCTTGATGAATTTTTGTCAACCTCTTTCACACAAGTTAATATCATCGAGAAACACTATGATAACTAACCTCGAATAGGTTAAATATTCTTTGTGGATTCTCTCGACCTCTTCCATACAGGGGTTAATATTCTGAGCAATGCTTTGACAAATGGTTTCGGATAAGTCAAACATCCTTGATGGATTTCTCTCGACCTCTTCCATATCGGTTAACGTAATCGAGCAATGCTCTGACAAACAACTTCAGATAAGTCAAACAACCTTGATGGATTTCTCTCTACCTCTTTCATACAAGCTAATGTTATCGAGCAATGCTCTAACAAATAATCCCGGATAAGTCAAACATCATTAATGGATTTTTCTCGATCTTTTCCATACATGTTAACGTTACTGAGCAACACTCTGAAAAATAACCTCGAATAAGTAAAAAACCTTTGATGGATTTCTCTTGACATCTTCATACAAGTTAGTATCATTTAGCAACACTCTGGCAACCCATCTCTGATAAGTCAAACATCTACGGTGAATTTATTTTGACTGGTTAACGTTATCAAGCAATACTTTGGCTAGCAACCTTTTAAGTAATACTTTCGAAAGTGACCTTGGACAGGTCAAACATCCTTGGTGGATTTCTTTTGGCCTCTTTTATATGGCACTTTGGAGCATCTCCTTGGACAGGTCAAAGATCATAGCCTTTACATGCAAGCTTTACGTTACTGTCCGACACAGAAATAAAGAAATGAAAGAGTTTTGATAAAACCAAATGTTTTTATATGTAGAAAACCTAAAAAAGGAAAAACCACTAGGCATTGCTAGCTTAAATGATTTTACTATTTATGAGTGAATTACAAAATTTGTCCAGTCTCTTAACTTAGAGACCATGAAATTGTAAGAGCATGGAGAATTTAAATAAGTCAGGATGGGTTTGGGGCTGAATGACCACTAGTTTTATGATAGTGGTTTGACGGTTGAGGTCCGATTGTAGCGATTGGCCAACGAAAGGTTCGACAACGATGATTAGAAGGTGAAGGTTAGATGGCAATGCATAAGCATAGGTCTGGTCGAGGCGACAACCAAGAGGCAAAAAGGTTGACAATTGTGGTCGCATGGTAATGGCATCAACGGTGGTGAAGGTTTGACGTTGTTGGCCGGGTGAAAGAATAGCGGCGATAAACTGGTCAAAACAATGATAGTCATACAGATGTCTTACAATGTTTCTTGGTCTACCAAAGTCTGAAGGTGGAGGTCAACAATGGCGGACAGCTAGAGGTTTGACAGTAAGAGTCTGATGATTACAATCTAATGGGGTCCAATGACAACAACCGAGCTCTCTGACTTTATCCAAAAAAATAATATATATATATATATAAATAATTGAAGATCATAATGCTTCTTCACAGAGGCACAAGACCATTTTGATTATTTTCTCTTAACTTTAATGAACATTAGAACATAAGAAGAGCAGCTCAGAATTCTTATTAAGATTAAATAGTGATGAACATTGGAAATCAAAACCTATAACAGACCACTTGAATTTCTGAAAGCTCCATAACAATTTTCCTGGACTCATGAAACAATCACAAGAAATTAAGATATCATGAAGAAAGGTAAAGAACTAAAAACAACCGCAATATTTACCTAAAAGACCAGGCTTTGCCTAATTGCCGACATGGATTTACAAACAAAGATCAATAATAGCTTTGATCTGCCAGACTGAATATACTCAGCTTTTTCAGAGGTTGGGAGCTGAAGCATTCTCCCTAGACGCCTTTCCCAAAAACCTCTTCAAGTACATTACAAGTTGGAAAGAAATCAAACTCTTTCTCATTTGCTCTAACATAGTTGATATCCCATGGCTTTGAATCATGATGGCCATCAATAAACTCATAATCAGCAAAACCAACCATACAATTACTTCTATGGTCCTTGTGCAAATTCTCTTGATCCCTCTCTACGCAAGAGTCGGAAGCATTACATGGCCCCTCGAAGGAAGTACAGGAGTCATCTTGAACATCTCGATCCAAGGAACAATCTCTAGAACTTCTATCAATGGGCTGCTTGCAAGGTGACTTTGATTTAAATCCTGTGGATCCAACGGAGCCACAATAGAATCCTTCATCCTTAGTTGCAACAAGATGCTTCTGATACTCCTCTTCATCGTCAACCTCATCGTCAAAATCTAAATCTTCGGAGGCATCGTTAGGTGACTCCACTACTGAATCCTCTTCCTCTTCCTCTTCCTCCGACATCGCAAATTCACCATCGCTGCTCTCTTGCCACTCATCATTGTCACTATCCACATTCAAAGGATCCATTCGGTTTTGGTCAGCTCTTTTCTGAAGTATGAATACATTGAAGTAGTAACTAACAATTTCTTTAAAACTTCGGGATGGAAAAGAGTGAGGGAGCAGGGTCCAAAAGTTTCTGCCTAATGATGCTGAATTTGACAACACTATCATATGGAACAAATTCTCCTCCTCTTCAGTCCATCTTTGCCTAACATCCTCTCCCATGTCAGGAAATCCAAGCTCTATGAACTTTTTACTCCCTAGTTCTCCTTTAAGCTTTTCCCGAGCTTCCATTACATGATACCTAACACATCTGATGGAGCCCTCATCACCGCAATCACAGTCTTGTTTAGGGCAACATAGATGAGTCTCCACGGGCGAAGAGTGAAGTCTAGGCAAAGGAATAACACAAATTCCGAGCCATTTGTCTGCACTGAATTCATTGCTCTCAATAACAGGCAATGTTGGTGTCACATTGCTTCGAGCTAAATGAGATGCAGAGAAACCAAAATCCTTGGGAGTCCACTGCGGAAGATCTGCTTGGTGATCTAATCCAATAGGGACAAGTCTTCGATGAGAATGCTCCGAAAGCGGGGAATGAACATCTTCCAGCAGGTCCAACCCAGCTCTATGGAGATATTCATATCCTGGAAAGAATGACAGCCCAGCAGGCTGGCCTTGCCTGGTATCCACTTTACTTACATTGCATGTTGCACCAGGCGATAACAAATTAGTTGCTGCTGCGGGGCTTTCGCCATTAGCATTCACAACAGATGCTGCCATTTTCCATTCTGGCTCCTCTGAAACAACAACATTATCATGTGCATTAATTAAAAATTATGCTACTTACTGCCATTAATTAAAGTACTACATGTAACAATCCAAAATGAAAAGAAGCATAGGCACAATATGGATAGCAGTATGGGTATTTTATTTTATAATTTTATTGAAAAATACCTGAAAAAGATTTTTCTTCAAAAGTAATATTAATAGGAGAATTTGAATTTCCCGCAAAGTGTCCCAGCTTTCCTGCTTGATCCTCTTTTTTTGCACGCTTATTCACCAATTCACCACATACGATGTTAGAAGGACGTTTACCATTCTCTGATGCTTCAGTTCCTTGGGTGCTTTTTGCAGCATCCCCCATAGGAATATTAGCAATTCGCTTCTTGAACTCCATGTCCGCAACGCTAGTAGCTTCAAAATGTTCCTTCTCTCCATCTTCAGATAAAAATACGATCAATCCAGTAGGCAACTTATACCTTCATATAATGCTAAATAAATATACTCCTATACCTGATACTTGATATTTCCCATGCTCAAGCTTATCAAGAGAAACTTCTGCAGATGATCCAAGATGTACAGCAAACTCCAATTGTCTACCATGTTCATAGGCAAGCTGATAAGGATCATCAGGAACACAAGGGTGCTTGCTGTACATCTTCAGCAAGGAAGCAGGAAATACAAGTTAATATACAAATGATGAGAGCATCTAATTCAATAATAGCATCCCTCAAGTTCATAATAAGACTCCCCAATGAACAGCATTGCATCAAAGCATTTGTAGATAACAATTATAGATTAGAAGAAAAAGGGATAATTTACACAATATACATTGAACATAATCATCAAAAGTTACGCTGCCTATGAATTAAGAAGATTATTAAAGAGTTTAAGACGCCTCATAAAGAAATACACAAGGAATGATACAATTGGTTATCCAAATCATTTATCTTTATTAATAAACCATTTTCTTGGTGTTGAGGTTTTTTTCAAAATAGATACCACTTCTACGTTGGTGAACAAATAAAAAAGATGCTCTAGCTAATTGATCAATAGCCCTCATAAGCATTTCAAAATTTAGAATTTTATAAGGAAATTTATCACATAATTCTAAATGGCAACTCTCTGATCCATTTATGCTAACTGGTAAAAGATTTTGCCTAGAATGATATTACAAAAAGATAATATGTGCTATTATGATTTCTGATCTTTTCTGAGGTGAACATGTTGATCTAGTAAAGAAGTCCGTCTCTTGCTCACCTTGAAAACTCCACCCATATCCCTTGTCATATAATCAACTGAATTGATGGAAATCCTTTTGTCCTGATCAATACGGATAAAGGTTTGTGCGGTAGACAACTAGTTTGTTCTGTGGGTTTTTGACAAGTTCTTCGACTTCAAGGACTCTAATTTCAGCAAGAGAGAACTAACATGCAAATATTTTACTAGTTCCTCAAGTCAAATCGGTGAGCTTATTGACTATTTTTGTTTGCATTAATGATGTTGAATGAGATTTGGGGGGGGGAAGAAGGGGGGGGGGGGGGGGGTTAATTAATTTCCCTAAGTAAATGTCTAATTGGGGAATTAATTAATTTAGGAGGGAGAGAAAGAAGAGATGGGGATCAGCCAAAGGAGGAGGGGAGAGAAGTGTCTAGATTCGATGAATGTAGGAAGATAGTGTCTAGATTTGATGAATGTAGGAAGAGGTGTCTAGGTTCGATGAATGTAGGAAGATGTGTCTAGGTTTGATGAATGTAGGAATTTTGAATTGATTCCCAATCAATTTCAGATTTAATTATTCCTTGCTTGAGGGAAGACTTTCCAAATTAAACTAAATAATTTAGGAAAGAATTTGAAAGTTTTCCCTCAATTTCATATTCTCAATCACTTAGTTCAAATTATTTCCTAAATTATTTAGTTTAATTTTGAAAAATCTTCCCTCAATCAAGGAATGATAAATCTGAAATTGATTGAGAATCAATTTAAAATTCCTACATTCATCGAACCTAGACACATCTTCCTACATTCATCGAACCTAGACACTTCTCACCCCTCCTTTGGCCGGCCCCCATCTCTTTCTCTCCCTCCTAAATTAATTGATTCCCCAATTGGACATCCACTTAGGGAAATTTATTAACCAAAAATAAAACGACTTAATTTAGGAGGGAAAAGGGTGGGGCTAAAGCCGGCGGCTAGGAGGAGTGGGTTGGGTTTAGGTTGGGCGGCGGTTTTTGGAGAGAAATTCAATTTCAGAATTTTGAATTTGAAATAGGAGGGAATCAAATTTAAAATGCTGAAATCAATTTAGCCATAAAGATGGGAGTAATGGGTGGGATTGGAGGCTTAATTAGGGGAGCATTAATGGGCCTCTTAATTAGGTGATTTAAGGCTTGCCAAGTGGGAAATCTTAAATTATGAAAGAGTATTTAAATCAAATCCTATTAGAACTTGAAATATGTTTGATTGGAATACTTTCCTAAAATAAGATAACTAATTTAGAAAAAAATTTGAAATTTAAATTCAAAACTTTTCAAAATCAAAACAAATTAAAAGAGGAAAGAAGGAAACTAGGATGAGAGGACTAAAGGAAGTGGCGACTTGGTGGAGAAGGTGGTGGTTTGGTGGGGCTTTAGGGTGGAGATGGGGAGGAAACCGGCGGTTGGAAGAAGGAGAGGGTGGTGGCCGACGGTTGAAAAGGAAAGGGGGTGGGTGGCCGGTGGTGGGGAAGAGGATGGGAGGTAGAAAGCCGACGGCTAGGGGAAGATTTAGCTGGCAGTTAAAGGAGGAGGTGAGGGATTAGAGAAAGGAAAAAAACCGTGAGCCTGGACACTTCCTGCGACTGACGGGTGATGCGTTGCTCTTCACCAAGGGACTTAAAACACGAGCCTTGACACATCCTGCGGTTGGTGGGTATTTCATTGCCCTCGCATAGGGACTTCCACTCTCCTAAGAACTCCCATCTCTCAAGAAAAAAGTGTAGAAACAATTTTTTTATTAATTCATCGTTGATCTAATACAAGAGCAAGGACATCTATATATAAGCCTTAAAAGAAACTAAAAGACAACTTTGCCCATTGGGCTTACATAAGACAAGACCCTTAACTAAGGGTAAAAACAAAAAAATGCATAATTAAATCAAAAATATAATTAATAAACTAAGATAAAATGGAGGGATCTCGATCGTCGCTCTTCTTCTCTTCCTTTGATTAAAATCCACCGTCGGATGTCCGCATCAATTAAAGTATCAAAATTGTTTTAACATATGAATATCACTAGTATTACAAGCAACTTTTTTACCATTGAATTATAGAGTTTATAATTGACTGTTGGGCATGAGGAAGAAGGAAAACAACAAATGCCGGTTTCGATGCTGACCATGTTCACTTCACTCTTTAAGATGTTCGATTGAAAACGTGAAAGAAAAAGGGCTTGCTCCTTCTCAATTCATAACCATTATCTTATACGGGTCCAAATGGAACTTGTGAAGTGAGAACATTTATATTTACTTTATCAAAGTTCATTAGCTTAATCTAAGTGCGATTCAATTCATACAAAAACTCTTTGAATTCTAAAAATACATCTGATTTTTAGCCAATTAAAACTGAAATATCCAATATTTAAAAAAAAAAACGAGGGACTTTTATTGTTCTAAGTTATTTAACCATTATCTTATACGGCCAAATGGAACTTGTGAAGTGCGAACATTTATATTTACTTTATCAAAGTTCATCAGCTTAATCTAAGTGCTATTCAATTCATACAAAAACTCTTTGAATTCTAAAAATAAATATGATTTTTAGCCAATTAAAACTGAAATATCCAATATTTTCAAAAAAAAAACGAGGGACTTTTATTGTTCTAAGTTATTTAAACAAAAAACCTGGATGTATTTATCTCCCTGTGGAGTGATCCAAAGTGATCTTCCTACTCATGGCAATGACTTGGATAAAGATCCATATTTTTAGCCTTGCAATGACATACAAACACGGCTTAACTAAGTTGCAGTGGGCATACAAGCTGCTAGTTAGAATGGTGCTTCGCAATCTCCATTGGATCTAATGCAGCTACTAAAACATACGCATCAAACGCACAACTTGCATGAGTAACTTGGTACAGTCGAAAAGTGTGTTATTAGTTTTAGTTATATAAACACATCAAACCCTGAACATGGGAAGCCCTACTTTCTAAGATATTCAATGAATTCATCTCTGTCATACGGTGCTCATCTCCCATCTTTGAATCCATGATTTCTTTAGTTTTCTAAGTCTTTAGCTCTCTGAAATTAATAAGCATGAATTTACATAATTCATAGTCATTTCTTTTTTACAGGATGGAAAAATAAAATGATATAAAACAGCCTAAAGAGGTAGAATGATCATTCATAGCAATCCAAACCCTCCAATATGGGAAACCAGATTGCAGAAGTTATTAAATTAAAAAGATCACCAACCCCAACTAGAAAAACCCTTTCACATTCCGTTTCATGAGCAAAAATACATGATGTGATTCATGTGAATTCGTGATACATTTGCCTCAAGCTAGATTCTTAAATAAATGGTGTCTTTGTTCACCTTGTTCTACACCTTTGATAATTGGAATTCACTCGGACAATCTTTCCTTGCAGTGCATATTTCAGACAAACAAATGGTATAGAATCGTATCATCCAAACCGTTGCAACAATATGCAGATTTCAGGGCTGCCTGGATAATTTCATTATAAGTTGGAGAGGAAGGATACATAAAGCCAACTCAACACAGTTCGAATAGGGATAATGATGACCATGCTGCTTCTGTGTAACTCGTTTAATTTACCGTCACAAAAACTATACTTTAAAATTGATATGGCAAGCAATATCAAAAATAAAGTTTCCAAAATTTGACACTAAGAGCACAAAAAAGACACTTAGCACTGCTAACAAGGAAAATAAGTTGGTCTTTCACGAAACAACCAAGGAACTAAAAGAATAGGGGGATGTTTAGTTGAATGCATTAGTACTGTATTGTATTCATTTTCACTGCATTCCAACATTAATGGTGTTTGGTTTGGGAAAAAAATGAAATGCAAAATAAAATTTTGGGGTAAATGACATACTCTAAAATCCATATTTCTAAATCTGGCACATTCTAAATCCCTATTCCAGTCACTCACAGTTACAAATATACTTTCCTAAATATCATCTTTGATTGATCCCACCATCTAGTCAATAAAACCATTTTGCAATAGATTCTCTCCAGATTTACTGAGCATCAATTTTTATTTTTGCATTTTTATCATATTTAACTCGGTTACTATTGAATTCATTTTTCCCAAAACTTGAAGTCATGTAGCATAGGCGGTCCAATTTTAATGTAAAAACATCTATTGTTAGGATGCCATGATATTTTCTTATCACATAATACTCCTATTGCACTTCTTCACTTTAGCGACTCTAATTCAAAATCATAAATAATTATCTCAAATATAACCACATTCCATTCATAATACAACTACAACAACAACATCAAGCCTTTATCCCACTATGTGGAGTCAATTATTCGACAAATTTTATGCTGACTGTCGACTACCTAATGCAACCCTCTATTTTTCTCATCCAGGACTTGGGACTTGGCAATAGCAGTGTTGATCTTTCAACAATAAAACCTAAAAATTGTCAATTCCCACACTAATTGGCAAATCATGTATTCAACTTTTGTCTTACTAATTTCTATGCCCATTCTAAAAATTTCTTCCATTTACCATGATAGGCGCAGGATTGCTTTCCCATTCACATGCATTGATTAGGACTTTTGTCAACTTTACACTAAGTAGAAGTTTCACTTGTCAAAACAATCACCTCAAAATAGCATGTATCAAAGCTTAAAGAGCCATTACCAGTAGCTAAGTAAATTGGTTTACACAATAATATCAACATGAAGCAAGAAATCTTTACTAAAGGGGTAAAGCCCTATTATAGAGAGAGAGAGTACTAGCCTAAATGATTTGAAAAATAAAATTTTCTTCATTATTCAAATTTAAAAGACTTTTGGAGAAAAAAAATTCATGTACCCGACCCCACATAGTGGGATAAAGGCTTGATGATGTTATTGTTTTTGTATTCAAATTTAAAAGACTTGTATTAAAAGTCAAGAGTACATATCTTGGTCAATGATTTGATAGTTTTAAAAACAGTAAACTTCTTGTGAACTTACCACAATCATGACCGCACCAAACATAAATAAAATGAATAGTAGAAGTGATAAAGTTAGAAGAATTTACTATAAATATATTTATCTAAAACAATGTTGGTCCTCATCTAAACAACAAGTTATGATTAAAATCTAAATGTGATATGATTGTACAGAAGTGCCACATCAGGCATTGCCATTGCCAACAAAACAACTATAATAATCAATGAATTTGCACTCAACTAATTACAATAATGTAGATAGAAATTCAATTCTTAAATTGCATTTCCATCACAAAGTCCAAAAAAATAATTAAAAAAAAAAATTCGAAAGGTTTAAGCTTTCTATTTTATTTGATCAAGGCCTCACAATCTCAATCTTTGTGTCTGTGCATATATAATTTAAAGGGAAATTTACATACATACACTTTATTTCTCAGTTCATCTTTCCTAATTTGTGTGTGTGTGTGTGGTTGTGTGCTCCCCCAAAAATAAGTAACTTAATATAAACAAATATTATAAGTTAAAATGTGAAAGGCTTCAGTTATGTGCAAAAGAAAACGAAGTAAAATTGAAGCTGGTCTTTACCTCTCAATAGCTGCCCCCAGGAATGCCTCAAGAAAAAAGGGGTGGGCCCTCCACAAGTGACTAGAGTTATATCCTCAAGAGATGGATCTATGCTGCGACCGACAATATTTTAAATAAAACAACTAGAAGATTTATCTACCCCCAAAACCCCCAATTTGTCAGTCAACGGGCCACAAGTTCGTCAATTTTCAAACCCCTAGCCCCAGGATTTGAAAGTCAACGGATTTTTAGGAATAAATAATAAATAAAACAATTTAAGCCTACGATCCAAGGACTAAAATTGTAAATTACAAGTCCCCCTTACGGATCGATCAATAATATCTGTAAAAATAAATCTCTAACGCTGACGGATAGATCACAAGGGTCACAAATCAGAATAAGCAGCGGATGGACAAAACGAATAATAAAGGGACAATAACAGCAACGGATCTACGGATCGAAACCCTAGAGCCCACGAAGCAAGCCCCTAACGAAACCCTAAAAAAAGTATAAATTCTACAGAGGCTCGCAAAAAGGAAAGGCCGGAATAAACCAATACGGGATAACGAAGATCCAGATCCAACAACCTATCAACGCGATAGATCAAGAAATCGGGGTCGACAGAGGTAGAAAACACGGCAGCCCTAGATTCAACCGGGAGGACGGATGATAGAGAAAACCGATATCGATCGATAGGTGTAAACGAGATCGAAAACGACGCGGTTCGATTCGTGGATCGGCCGGCACGGATCGAGGAAAACGAGATTGAGATCGAAAATTTTGGCAATTAATGAAAAAGACCAAAAGGTCCAAAAAACAGCTCGATTTTTTATTTGGATCCTTCTTATTCTAAAATTTATGAATATATAAAAAATTCGGCTGCCACTAGTTCAGATACTTAAATGACTATAATACCCCTGTGATTTTTCTATATTAATCGTGGAGTCTAGTATTAGGCACTTTTTTATAATTATTCTTAAGGGCACCGATGGAAAACAAATGTGGCTAATTTCCGTAATGAAAAGGCAGGCCGTTAACATATGTTTATAGCAGCTGATAAAATACACGTGATGCACGTGGCTTAAATTAAAATTTTTAAGTACTTATTAATTGATTAATTTTATCACTTTTTTAATAATAGTTTAATATGAAAGTTAAGTTGCGTAGCCTGTTAATAGGTAATACTTAGGGGTTTTTAATTGTAAGTATTATGAATATATAGAGTAAATCAAATATAAAATTTTTAATAGTTTGTTGGAAGAAATATAAATAGAAAGTAGTTTGTTTAAAGTACTTAAAATTCTTTAGTTCATTTTCAATGAATTTGACTATGTTCGGTTCAGATAAATTTCAAATATATTGTGTTTGAAGAAGAGTTAGGCTCTGAGAAATTTCACATAGCCTCTGCCATTGACATCGATGAACTATTCATCAGTAATGTTTGCAAATCCTTTACGATGTGCCTCCTCCATCCACGACAGAACCTCCTTTGTTCGCAAATGTTATGTTTGCATATCATTTGCTTGGCATGTCAAAATGCTATAAATGGCACATTTCCTCTAAAAAACGCCTCTAGGACGTTGTCAATATGCCTTTGTTTGCTTCATTTCATTGTAGCATCCTCCATTTGTGACACACCTCTACAAAGTCCTCCATTCGTGACGCACTTCCTCCATCCATAACATTCGTGAAACCTCCATGTACTCAGCTGTCAGAACCAGCGCCTCTATCCTTAAAATTGTTTCAATAATGAGTTGTGATAAAATTTTTGATTTACATTACACTTCACTACGTACAAAAATGCAAATTAATGAATTATTTTACGACAAATCAAATACGATAAATATTTCTAATATATTGATTTGATTTTCATCCCATTTAAACACACTCATATGTAAAATACTTGTAACCAAACAATCACTTAATATAAGTGTTATGACCAAAATATTTTAATAACTATAAGTACATATTTTTAAAAAAAAAAAAAACCACATCTCCATATTTAAAAAACTATTAAAAATATACCATTGTTGATATCTTGATGACCAAAAAAATTGATGATGCTCCTAACTAACATGTTCTTCACTTTCCAATTAGTGGTTTTTGGTGAGTTAAATAACCCTACGCAATACAATCAATTATTGCAATATTGGAGATAATATTACTCTTACTCTTTGATAGTTTGTCATCAACTTATCAGATAATCACCTTCAAGTGGTTTATAGATATATACATTTTCTCAAAAGTTGTTGACATACATGAATCTCACTAAGACTTAGTTTAAGGAAAAAATTATTCTGTGCGTACGCTGAATGCAGTTCTACATCAGGAGACCAACAAGAATAAATCATTTTATTTAGAAAATATTGATGAAATCATTTTACAAAATGGATACCTGACGGTTCCAAACTCAATTTTGTACTGACATGCGACATGTGTCAATTTCTTAAGAATTTTCACTAGTGCCAAAAAATTATAAAAAAAAAATTCATAAAATTAAAACACAATAATGACTATCTTATGATGAATACTATTTTTAAATTTCACTTATAATGACTCTAAAAAAAATTATTTATATGACTTATTACAATCTACCCACCTTTAAAAAAAATATTATCCCCGATATTCCTTAAAGATTTGGGCACATAATCGATATAAATCAAATCCATATAATCAAAACTCAAATCAAATCAAACTCATTAAAAATTATATAATCATATAATTCATTGTATCATATGTCATTCAATTATGTATGATATGATATGTTATGCAATCATTAAAAATAAAATTCTTACCACTATAACTCTCATGTTATTATTTATCTTATATATAATGTAAGTTGTACACATACGGCATCAGTGGATTAGATATAGTCGGTCGTGGTGTAGCAGTCTCCCTCTGATTACTACTATTAGCTTTGTCATCTGCTATGTTAGTTGATCTTTCACTATATACCCTTAGCCCTATGTTCCTTTGTCCTTCTATCTATCTGGACAGTCCTGCACCGAAATCAGTTCTTCCTCCAAATCCCCTCTGAGGACAAACTGCTAACTTATATCCCAGTTGTCCATAATAAAAACATCGCCTCGTCAATAAGTAACACTAACCCACATATCGTCGACAATAATAAATGCACTTGTTATAACTACATGTAGATATTACCGATCCAGATATCCTCGAATTAATCATTATATCTGCTTTTCTTGTCAATATCTCTTTCTCTATTTGGTTCATCGCTATTCCTCCTCCTACTGACAAAATATATGGAGACCACCTCATATCGGGATGTTGATGTTACTAAATCAATCTCTATCAGTTTGGCCCACTCCACCAATACAGAAGATTTCTGAATTCGTAAAGGTACTAATGGACCTCTCATCTCCCTATTCAACCACTGTAAAAACCTATAACACTTTTCCTCGATAATAGGAATCAAGTGAGAGCATATCTAGCTAGTGTAATAAACTCAGCCTCGTACTACATCTCTGTCTTGCATCCCTGCTCCAACTTGATAAAAGCTTCTTGCAGCTATCGTTAAGCTGAAGGAGGTACAAACCACATTCTAAATATTACGGTGAACATGCCAAAAGTGATCTCAATGTTTATCTTCCTTTGAAATTTCTCTCTATGCTGCCCAGCCCACCATTTCTTAAACTCTCCTTTAAAGAGGAACACAATCAATGACATTTCTCCAGACACTGCATGTAGTCAAAGATCTTTTCTATCCTTAGTAACCAATCTTTTGCAACCTTAGATCCTACAGCTCCTTTAAATAGTGAAGGCTTCAACTTGTGAAATCTGTGTAAGTGCTTGTCTCCCTCTTCTTCTTTACTTTAGCTGATTTTCTCTACACATCTCCCATTACATGTGTTATTACAATAGCCAATTGCATCATACTTTCTGATGGCATTGGAGTTGTACTGTGTTGCTTATTTGATATATTTGACTCTAGATGATTCATTCAACTTTTCACCAGCATAATTTAATATGATATGAATAATGCACACATGTAATTATGTATGTAAAATAATATATCTTAAACTGCCCATTTTATTAAACTCTCAATCAAATCCTATAACTTTTATAACAATTGAATTCTTCTAATAACTATATTCTAATATAAATTGTGACACCTCATAATCTAAATTGAAAGAATTATTCTTTTATCTTTTAATAAATAATAAAAGAGCTATAAAATTTCTTTTATTAATATCAATAACATTACAAATAAAACTATCGATTAAAATATCAATATATACATATGTTTTTCAATTTTAAAAAATTATATACACTACTCAAGATCATGCAATCATGTCATGACTATTCTGTCATGAGTACAAAAAATAACTAAAATAAAAAGAATCATAACTTAAAAAATCTTGACTAGCCTCACACTCTTTATCATCAGCCATGGCCTGAAATTATTTAACCATATATAATGAGCTAAAAATTCCACCATGTCATCAAAAACCTACAACTAATTTCAAAGCACAGTAAAGAAGTAATATGCATGTCAAGGATCAAATCATAGCAATAATATTTATATGATCATTTAATCGATATAAAAATAATAAAATTGACATAAAATACTAGTAAAATATATAAATGATAAAATAATATAATATGAAAGTCAATAAATTAGTACATGTGACAAATCTATAAAGAAATTTTTGTATCACCACCATCAATCAATAGAGAGATCAGATAAAGTAGTAAAACCAAATCATCAACAAGGATTGGCAAAATCATATCAAGTCTCAAAATCATATAGGAGTGTACACATACTATCAAGTTCTTTTATATAAGTATCAAATTAATATATTACGAGTTCAATATGTCTCATGCTTATTATACAGTAAATTAGTAGTATCAAATAGTATCGGTGTCTATATCAATAGTAATAATAGTAACAATTTAATGATAGGAGTAGCAAAATAATGCAATAATAATAAATCTATAAAGTAATAAAAACAATGCCTCAATAAAATGCTTTTTAGCAGTTATACTAAATAAGTAAGAAATCCTGACTATAATAATATTTTTAAGTATTATATCAATAACAGTAAAGCATTAACTCAGTAAATAGAGTCGTCGCTCTTTATCCATTGATATAGTAATCATCTCCTTATAACTCCAAATCAGTGTATTCTGTGAATCGGTCGAGGATAACACCAAACCACATATTTAAAAGAAAGTCCGTCTGTCCATCAGCATGTATAGGTCAATCAGTTTCCAACCAATGGGTAAACTAGTTTTTACTTATCTTTTACATACATATTATTATCATATTATTATAATAGTAATCTCAATCACACGTCCATATTCATTTTTAATATATTGCAGCAAATAAAGCACAATTGAACTTAATTCAAAAAGTATCAAAATGTCTTAATGACAGACAATAAAATTCATATTAAGCAAAAATTTATATTTTTAAAATTAACTAGATTACCAGATATTGTATAAAATGACATTTTGAAGTTTTTGTTGAACTAAATCACTATTTTTATATGTTAAAATAAATTTCTTAGTATACAAAAATTGTTATTTTTTTAAAATCATCATATAAAAATCTCAAATAAATATTCAAAAAATTCATAATCTCAATCTCTATAACATCTAAAAAGTTACGTGGTGAAAGTTTTACCAACACAAATTATCATCATTTTTCGATAATAGAAATACAAATTTAATCAGAAAAATATAAAAAAATAACATCTTTGAAATAAAAAATAGGATAATAATTCCTTACAATGAGACAATGATTCCTTACATTGATATAAGCAAATCTCTCAACAGGACTGATAAACAAAAATCACTCAATGACCTCCAAATTCGAGCTTTATTTTTCTCTCTCCTCTCTTTTTCTCACATTTTCCTCAATCCTTTCTCTATTAGCCAAATGCTTAGGGAGATTAAATGGCTTTTAATGGAATATATTAGTGTTTTAATATATTTTCATATAATATAATATAATTATTTAATTTAATTACTTTTTCAACATAAAATTCATATAAATTATTTGTATTTTAAAAATTATAGAAAGATATTCATAAAATAAATCATTTTATTGAGAAAATATTGGTGAAATTATTTTACAAAATGGACACCTGATGGTCCCAAAGTCTCTACTTGTACTGAAAAGCATTAATTTTATAATGATTTTCACAAGTGCCTAAAAATTATGAAAAAATTAGTGTAATTAAAACCAAATAATATATATCTTATGACAAAGATGATTTTTAAATTTGATTTATAATAACACCTAAAAAGTCATTTATCAGGGTTATTACACCAACCACTCTTGATATTTCAACAACTAATGATCGATTTAGTCCACTTATTAGCGTCACCCGACTATAGTCCTTTGATCACAAATGTCTGACTACGATCGTCTAACAACTGCCACCCAACAACAATCTTGTTATCACTTTCATTTGACTTCGATCCATTGACCATTATCACATAAATATGATTTCTTGACCGCATCATCGAACTTCGTTCTATCGACCACGATTGCTTAACTACGATCATTCAGCAACCTTAGCTCAATTAAGATATAATAATCACTATCACCCCCACTACATTGTTGGAACTATCATCGTCCAACTACGATCTTCTAACCATAATCACCACACTATAATATACAGATCAAGTTCTTTGTCACCAATAACATCAACACACTGTTTCACTTATAAAGCTAATGCATGTTATTAACATTCATTTTGACCCCTAATATCAACATTAAACTTTATATTAAACTTCTTAATCTCTAGTCTCCCCTCCACAAATGACAAATATAAATCAAATAATCTCTTGAAAACAGCTGCTATGTCAAAATGTTATTAGAACTTTTATTTTGAAATTCATTTTATATAATTCATGATTGCTATATTCTAACCATTTCTTTTTTAATTATGGAGAATAACATTATTTATAACTTATAATAAATACTATTTGAATAATTTAATTGGATTGGAGAATATAGTTTTTATTTTTTTTTGTTATTTTCCTTATAAAATTTTTAATATTTCATAAACTAAATTTTAGTACATTATTAAGGTAATAGTTAAAAACATTTTCGGGTGTCACGTGGCAGTACGGCGTGGGCGGAAATAACAAAGAGGGTAAGAAAACATGACGCCATTTTCCTCCTGTTTGTGAGGGAGGAGCGTTTTCGGTTCCATCGCCATCAGAGCTGAGGGCGGAGATCTCATCCACCGGCAGCTGAATCCCGCATCATAAAAGCTTCAACTCTGCCATCAAAGCTTACTTTCTCTCCTCGATCTCTTCGCCTACCGTAACCCTCTTTTTTGCTTCTTCTCCGATCTCGCTTCCTCACCACCTCTTGCTCTCTTCCACCGATCTCGGACCTGTTTGGCAATGGCTTCGTACATCTCCGTCCCGTGCCCTAAATTCCCACCCGTACTTCGCAACAGCTCGTCTCGCGGGGTTGCGCTGGCGCCCCAGGGCAGGGTTTCGCTGCAGGTATATCGAGATTCTTTGCTTTTATTTTCTTCTTTGTATGGCCTTTTTGGGCGGAAGTATCATTTCTTTATGCAAGCTGTCGATTATTGAATCTATTGGGTTGGGATTTCTAGACTTAGAGCTTCGTTGTTGGGATATAAAATGCTGGATGTTTTTTATTTACTTGGTTACATTTGATGGATGGAGTTCTGTTTAGTAAAATTGGCATGATTTTTTGTTCAAAATTGTATGCTCGCTGCGGATTGGCATTCCTTGGGATATTTTTTTATTAATCAATTGTGATTGCGTTGGGAATTGAATATGAGGAATCTGTGATAATTGAGCATTGTTGACTTCGTTGCAGCTTAGAGGCAAGGGAATGTTTAGTTTGAGATTGGTTTTAATCAAGTAGACTTGAAGTACTATTATTGATTAGTTAGATCTAGGTAGATTAGGCGGGACTTAGCCAATTACGTTTGGTTGGTAAGATTTAGTTGAAATTAGCCAAGTTATGTTTGTATGGAAAGAGGGGGTAAAAAAGTCTTAACCATGCTTTCTATTTGATTTTGGGATTGAACTAGAATGGTTATATCAGGGCAAATTTTATAGATTTTGTTTTTAGATTGTGATTTCAGTTGGTTTGATGGAATAATTTGCTCATCAGACTAATCAATAGAATCATGGACTACCATGTATACTTAGTATGCTTACTTACTATAGACATTTTACTATTCAGACATAAATAGTCATGCTAATCATATACTACTTAGTAGAGAATGCTGTCCTCTTTTATTTTGCATGATATCAAATGCCTTAATCCAATGAATTTTCCTCATAAGAGGCACTCCATAATTAGCTTTATTAGCCTAATTTTAATTTTTAGGGCTGGCTTTATGAATTATCATTTTCTATTTATTACTGTTGAGCGTTTCCTATAGTATAAAACCCATACTTTGCAAATTATTTTCAACTTGTTTCTATGTTGTCTTAAGTATATCCCTTATGTTTCTTGATGTTTTGATAGTAATTTTATCTTTTTGTCTCATAGATGAATTTTTACCTTTTGTTGTATATGCTAAAACCACTTAAGTCTATTCTTTTTTTTTTTTTACTTAAGTCTATTCTTAATTACTTTAACTTCAGTAATGTGATCGCAAACATTCCTCTAATATAATCATTATTAAAGTTATCCTTTCAAGTGTTGTCACATGATTATATTAACATTCTCATTTCCACCATGCTCAACTGTTAATAGTTTTTAAAATTCCCAACACTTGAATCAACACGTCGCCAACCTAATTCTATTATTATAAAATTCCCCTTTAATTTTTCATGATATCCTTTATAAAATAATATTTCAGAGTTTTCTCTCAATTTTAACTACTCAGTCTTAATATTAAAAATTATATATATATATATATATATATATATATATATATAACTACTCAGTCTTCCATCTTCTTATAATATTTATGGATAATTTTCAATACCAATTTCATATTATATAATCAATATTTGTTATACTAATTCTAATCTTCATATCTTTTAAATATTTTCTTCATTGTTTTAGTTTTTCACTTTTTTTAATAGATTTCTTATCAATTACAACTATGTCATCTGTACAAAAAAAAAAAAAAAACATCAAGAAACCTCACTTTAAATTTTATTTATAAGCATCATCATAACTAATGAAACATGATATGAACTCAATGTTGATCATTGTTGTAATCTAATTATAATTGAAAACTTTTTGGTCGCTCTACAACTATATTAATATTGGTCTGTGCTCCATCCTACATCTTTAATAATTTCAGCATGCTTTCTCAATCTCATTAAAAACTATATGAAAACCCCTTATATAGTCTCCATACTTTTTGTTTAATCATCTTAACACTTCAATCACATTCATAGGAACTTTTTTTTGGTAATAGACCAAATTGATTCTAAAATTGATGTAATTTTTTAAGTTCATGCTTCATTACTCCCCCTCTATAACTTAGTGTAATATCAGTTATAATATTCACTACATTAAAATGCAAGCATGAATACTAAAAGTAAAATGAAATCTTAGTTCAGGAAAAGTAAATCTATAGAGATCTAAGTACGATAATGTTTTTTATGTTGGCTGGCCTACAATCTAGCCTACATTCATTCTTAAACCTCCGCCCTTCTTGTATTCCCACTACTTCGATCTTACTATGACAATATCCCCTCCTTCACGGGGTGGTGAAAGCTTTTACAAGATCTTTTTAATGGATAAAGAGCAATCTAACTTTGCTTCCACAAAGATCCCACACAGTCTATCCCAAGTCTTCACAATTCCCTCTCTCAAGAGTACAATAGTTTCCTAAGCTTGAGTTTTCCTAAACTTTGGAGGTGCTTGGAAAATTTGTTTTTCAATCGCACTCTCACAATCCCAAATACAAGGTTTTAATAATACAATAAAAACTTCAAAACAAAAAAAAAAAGTTTGATGCAAAAAATCCTAAAATGTCAAGTCAAAGATATTACCAATAATGAATAACTCAAGGAGTTGATTTTTATGAACAATTAAAGTACCTCTTGAAAGTTCTTAGAAGATTTTACATTGAAAGCTTAAATCCTCTTATTTCCATTAGTCTTTTGTTCTTCATAATATGACGGTATCACTACCTTTACATATTCCTCATTTTTAATCCTCAAAAGCATTTAAAACATATGTAAAATTATCCAAAGTCACCTCAAATGGATATAAAAGAATCTCCTAACGGTTGATAAGATTATATATTGCTTGCAAAAATAGACTTAACAATGGCCTATAAACATTAGTGAGAGGCCCATTAATCTCTTAATGAGTACATGTTAAACTTAGCAGAAACTTGCAACCCTGTAGTGAAAAATTCTATTGGAAGGGCTGATGATCATTTTGTATTTTCTTTGATATTTAAATTGCTTCAAACTATGTAAAATATTATAGACTTATATATATATATATATATATAACTTGAAAAAAAACGTGCTAGTTCAGTGGTGATAAGATTAAGTTCTAATTTTGACTTAATAACATGATTTTGCTATAAATTATTTAATTGACATATAAAAAACATTAGTAATCAAATTAAGCATGTTTTGTCAATTGCAGATTATTGAATAATATATAAATCCAATTGAACTTTCCAACACATGAAATACATAATTAACAAATAAATAAAATATTATAATTATGCTCAATTCCTTAATTAACTATTGCCAAAATTAACATATAAACACTTAACCAAAGAAATTTATTGGATTAATGAAAATTTAGGATCAAATGTATTTGTCGCATGGGTGATTAAGATCAGGGATATCAAAAAAATTATGTCATGTTCACAGAGCAAAATAATAAATAATGAATTTTACATGAACAAATATGCAATAAATAAGATAAATTGAAAATTATGTTAAATAAATTAAAAAATATTATAGAATAATTTAGTATATTTGAAATATGTTTAATGGTTATTTAGCAAATTTTAAATTTTTTTTTTCATCATTCTTGAGTCTTCATAATGATAAATCAACTAACACAATGAAAATTTTCTAAAATATATTTACTAGGAAATCTACAACGATGACAACATGACATGACCAACAATTGGGTGAACCTATATAGAATTATTATGTATTTCCTAATACTGTGAATTTTTTTTCACTCTTTATTTGAATTAGGTTTCATCCATTTCTCAACTGTCCCATCAATCATCATGATTCTTCTTCAATAAGAGCTGGCATTGAGTTTTGATCCTAAAACATTATCTTAGTTTTTTTTTTGTTTCAATTGTGCCACTTTTATCATCGGATGCCCCAACCCCAAATGTTGGTCGTAGCTTGATCTCTGTCATCACTAACTGCTTTAGTTTTATAGGAGTGTACCTCCCATGAAAGAATTTTTTCATTATGGAAAGATCCAGTGGTTTGGACTTATTTACAAAGCCTTTTTTTGGGTTTGGTTTAACCCAACTTTGTCGTTCATTTGGATGCATATAAATAAACACTTATGACACACACTTTATGGAGTCTTGTGTCATGATTGATCAGTATTGTCATAAAAAAAGTCTTCTGGCTTGCCTCATGACCTTTGATGGATTGCAAATTACCAATTAGTTCAACAAGTTGTTTTCTTTAAACGTAAACACACATTACTAAAATTGATAACTAATTTATAATGAAATGATCAAAATAATCCTAGAATTTTAATGAGAAATTAAAAAAATATAAAAATAGCAAGCAAAATGTATTGATTTCTACAATTTTGATTTCCAACATGTCATTTTTTGATTAAAAGCAAGAAGATTAAAAAAATCAGTATCAAATAGTATAGATTAAATAAACAGAGAACTATAATACTAAAGGAAAACATCAAGCATCGTGTCACTAGAAGGAGGTCAATTCCTCCTGAATTAGATAGTTGCATTTGTACTGCACTTGAAGGAATCACACATAGAACTTGCACTCATAAGATGTAACAAAAATAAGAAAAATTTTATTCAAGCTTTATTCCTTAATAATATATCTTAAAAGAATGTTTTATGGATATCTCGTCAGCTACGCTAGTAGATACAGTTGATATTATGATCATCCTGATTCAAATATAAATTAATATTACTATTAATTGATGTGCAATTTGAAACCTCTTGAATTTGTTGAGCAACTTAACATGCTTGTGATTAAAAAAAGAAATTAATCCCATAGTCATTCTTTAACTAAGTGCCTTCCATAAACTTTTAAGAAAATTACAACATCCAAGGAAATACACAGCATGTGGAAACAGAATCAGCAAAAGAGGAGAGAGACAAAAAATGAAACATCTCAATACAAATTCAATCGCTTGAAAGCATAACCAACAGATCCAATATTCTTCATTTAAATCTTTAACATATAATCTCAAAATGATACAAAAGGATAATGCCAACAACCAACACCTAAGGCCACCATCCAAGGAAATCTCATCAATTTGCTCGGTTTGAAAATATTCGACTTCAAAAACTGAGCTTTTGCCTAAATTTATTCAAAATTGAAACCATCCCAAACCATATGAACTACATAAAACTAGTGAATTAAACTACATCCCTCTTTTTTGCTATGATCAATGACACATTCTTACTTCTATAAATGATAAATAAAAGAAGCTAACTAATAAAATAAAACAAATAAGTTTTGCTTAGTTTAGTAATTGGTGTGATGCTTCTGACAAAAATATACATATAATTTCTATAAAATTTTGTTGACTTGGATTTCAACTCGAAATTTAGCATTTCATACTCATCGCAAGCAATTATGTCGCGCTGGTAAAAAAGTTATCTTTGGATTCCATGACAACATATGTAGCTATTTGAATTGGAACTACACATCTCTGAGATAAAATTATCAGCACAAGCTATTTTCTATGGTTATGAATTTGGTTCATGTTTCAAATTCATGTGTTTTAATGTTGTAGACATGACATTCACATCATTCCTTATAGCAAATATAACCTTGCAAAGCTTCTCATGGTTGAAATGGATTTGATACATTCTCTTCCAATTAGGTTCAACCTTAGGAGTAACAATGATGTAACATATTACATTAAGGAATTATCATTACAAGTATCATAATAATCACTAATTTCTTCATTAAACACTTAAATCTCATTAAAATCATTTATCTCATAACCTACTTCCTTCACATCCATACATGGGTTTCTGCTCGGACACTCATTAACACAATAAGCAGTTTGATGGCACTTAAAATATGCCTTGGCAGAAATCTAAGACTTAGGTGCAATGCAGTTGTTTTCTCTTTAGTGTCCTATTGATTTTAGTATTACTACACCTAGATGCAACAAATTGAACTCGACTGTTTTCATAAAAAGATGCAGTTTCAAATATACAGTGTCTCTCTTAAACGCAAGAAATTTTAACATTTGTTAGAATCAAGTACAAGTTGAAAAGCATATGCAAGATTGCAAGTAATGAAATTTGATGAGGATCGTCTACCTTTTAATGTCAAATCTCAATTAGATCTAAATCTAGAGAGTTTGCTGTTAAGATCTTCAATGATCTCAAAACACAACAATGGTTCTTCAAATATTTTTGCGTATTTAGTAATAGTTTTGACACATCACATTTGCTTTAAAGAATTAAATTCATTAAGCGAATGATCACGATATGACAAAGAAGAATATTTTTCTTTTTGAAGTTCTTCCATTTCTGCCCAGGTGGTAGTAAGTTCCCTTTCAAAGATTTCCTTTGTCTTTCTATACTCATCTAATAAACTTTAGTTTGACCACTTAATTTCATTTTCACAAATCTCACTTGACATTCATCAAACATGATTTGTCATTCAAAGAAATTATTTACAGTTAATAATTAGTTAGTTAATGCTTCAGGGTCAAATTTTTCATCATAAATGGGCACTTCAGCTTGAACTTCTCTAGTTAGTTTATCATTTATGTTCTTATTTTGATATATATATTTTTCATAAGCATTATTTTTAAATATCTTAAATTGTTTATTAAGATGATTTCTGTCTCCTACTAATTTTGACATTTGGCTCGTCATTATGATTGAATTCTACATCAACTTCAATAGTTCAATTAATTGATTTTGGAAAATTGATAAAATTTAATCCAGTTTTCAGTTTATTTAGTCACCTTGATAATTGGTCCTGCATCTTATTGACTCGTTGACACAACCTAAAAACCAACTGGATTTGAAATGGTCAAACTAATCCAAGAATTTCAGCAAGAAATTAGAAACATTTAAAATCAGCGAGAAAAATAAATTAATTTTCACAATTTGGAATTTTGATGGATCACTTTTTGATCAAAATCAAGTGTACTAATTAAGTCAATATCAAGCAATATAAGATAAAATGTACGAGGAACAAAAATATCAAATTTAGAAAAATCATATCTAATGTAGATACAATGAGATGAATTCCCTAAAATTATGTAGCTGCACTCAAATGAATTCTTTCACAAAATTGAAATTAGAAAATTAAATTTTATTAGAAAAACGAGGCAGTCAATTTCTCCCAATAAATGAAAAAAAAAAAAAACACGCAATCTATTTGACTTTTTAAGTCCTCGACAAAAAGAAATGTAAATAAAAATTGAGTTTTGCAGTCATTACCAAAATAAATTTAAATTTTTTAAAATAAAGCATCCTAACGTCAAGCTAAAACTGTGACGAATTTAGTAGTTTCCTTTTAAAAAAAAAAAAAAAAAAACATCTGTTTGTTTCTTCTCATAAAGTTTATAATCCTTAAAAAATGCTCAAGTAGATCTGAAGCTATGGCACGCTATGGCATACTTATAGTAGCTAAACTTTTGACGTTATTTTGGGTTATATATTTTTCCTCTTTAACATGTTCAGATGATTTGTACAAAACATGAGTCAGATTTTAGTATTTGGCACTCAAACAATGCATATAATTTATATATTTCTCTTTTTTTTTTCCTCGTCCTGTTTTCTTCATCTTGCTATTAATCATTTTTCTTTTCTTTCAGGGGCATAAGGAGAGAAAGTTTTATACTTTGATGGCCAAGGCTCATGAGGTAGCCACCTGTTTTTACGTTGTGCTCAATTATCATTATCATCTTTTGTTTTATCCTAACAATTTGGTGTTTAGCCTATGAAGCACGGAAACTAAACAAAAACATGAAATAGAGGACACAATGATTCTTAAAAACATCTAATATGAATATGGATTGCATATATATATAAAACAAAACATAACCTTCTTTGGAGTTATGCAGATGTCTAAATTGAATATAATAACAATAGAAGAAAATTTATCATTCTTGATAAGTAGTTGGACTGAATTATATTTAACAAATTATTGCAGTCATAGTTATCAAGGCATTCTTATTGGACTGAATTAATTTATCATTCTTGATCAAAATCAAGGCATTGTTTTTGTATGATATGTGTTCAATACCCTCTAAGATGATCGTCTATGCTTCATAGAGGTTAGCTTTATGAATTCTTCAATGCTATTCACATCTAAAGCAAGGCACATAGTGTTATTAATTCTATTTTATAAGTTTCTCAATTCTTTTTACTTTTAAATGTTGTCAACATGTAAGGCCACTGTGGAGGGTTCTTCAAATTCTTTGCCTCTACCAACAGCCAAGTCAGAAACTCAATCACCTGAGGCCAAAGATAACACGGCAGAAGATGAGTCCAATATGCCTGATTCTGCGATATCAGCATTCATGTCGGAGGTTTCAAATCTCATCAAGTAATAATCCATCCACCTTTTTTTTTTTAATTGTAAATTTGTAATCATACTAGCCAAAACTCAGTTGGTTGCTCCTCTAACAAGCATAATTCTTGAAAATTTTTCATTTATTTCTTCAAATTTTCTAATGCATCTGACAGTGGAAACAAAAGTTCATATGAAGACTGTTTAGGGCATAGATGTAAGTTTTATAAACTAATGCCGATATGGATCTGACATGTTGAGAAAAATAATCTGTGAGATGGCAATGGCTGGAGGCATTAATTAAATGGTGAATGTTTTGGGAGAATGCCGTCAATGTGATGGGTTTCATTTCAAGTTAGACTAGGAGGAACCGGTCAGCGGTTTCCATAGATTTCTACGTTTTGATGTCATGCTACAAAATTGTATGTTAAAGTAAGAAGCAGTTCAAATTTGAGCTGCAATGCCTTTTTTTTTGTGAATTTTCTTTGTCTACTTGGCTCTACTTCAAATGGGCATTACTAAAATGATTGGGCCAAAGGTTTGAGCCTGAACCCAAATTTAGATTGGGTTGGGTCTGGTTCAACATACAACATACGTCTTGTTTTTCTGTGGGCATATGGAATTATCCTTTGTACAAACTATAACCCATGAAATCCATTGAAATAGGTCAGTCTGGCAGTCCTGGATTGTTGTCCAGGCCCAGTACATACATGGTCAGATTGGGTTTATTAAGTGAGGTGGCTGTGCTCATGTTCTATACCGTCCCAGTAAATGTATAAAGTTTACTAAGAACAACAGCTCTCTTAAGCATAAACACCAAAAAATTCTTATAAGATGTTGGAACTTGCCATAAGAATGTTCTTCTAATACCTTTTTTTGCACCAAGGGATTTTGAAAACAGCAAGTCTATGTATGCGTGAGACAGATTTTACTTCTACCACTCAGACGTGCTTTCTTCTCTGAGTAGGCTTGTGGATTCCAGAGATATCACAGAACTTAAGCTGAAACAGAAGGATTGTGAGATTATAATAAGAAAAAAAGAGGCCTTACAACCGCTAGCACCTGCTGCTCCTGTTGTCATGATGCAGCCTCCACAAGGCACTTTTTCAACACAACCACATGTCTCCCATGCCACTCCAGTTCCATCAATTCCTCCCCCTGCAGCTCCAGTTCCTGCTCTTCCTCCTGCAAAAGGCAGCAAGTCCTCACTTCCTCCACTAAAATGTCCCATGGCTGGGACATTTTACCGTAGCCCAGGACCCGGGGAAGCAGCATTTGTCAAGGTAGATACAAGTATGCTATTCAATTAGTAATCATTTTGTGACTTTAAAGTCCAAGCAAATTCTATCTGCTCATCCTCTTGAGAAATTAAAATTGTTCTGCATTTTTAAGATGCAATTTACTCTGTAGATTCGTTTGCATGTATAAATGCAGTGGTAATTTCCAATTATAGTTTTACACAAATTATTCTGCTCAGATGATGTATTTTGCTTATTGTTTATGGGTTACATATTATGATTGCCCTCACAAATGGAAGTATGAATTTCTTGATAGTTCATAAAATAGCTTACTGATACTTCTGTTTTGTTATGCAGGTCGGAGATAAGGTTAAGAAGGGGCAGGTTGTCTGCATTATTGAGGCTATGAAATTAATGAATGAGATCGAGGTAACTAAGCTTTCTGAAAACTTTCAACCACTTACATTTTTTTATTATTTTTTTAAAAGTAGCGAATTACGCTACCAATAAATCCTAAATCACAATCAACAAGCGATTAGGGTTTAGGGTTTAAAGTTGTGGGTTATTTTGTGTTTAGGTTAAAGTTTTAGGGTTTCAGGGTTAGTTTGTAGGGTTTAGAGCTTACGATTTAAGATATAAGATTTATGGTTTAGTTTTTTGGGTTTAGGTAATATTTTCTAACCAAGTCTTTTTAGGTCTTCCTCTACCTTTCTTAACATAAGTCAAATCTAATACCTCTCTTAACATAAGTCAAATCTTAACAAAGGTCAAATCTAATGACAATCAACACATAACATAATCTAACCATTTCTACTGCACAGGACAATTAACTATCCTGTAGAATCTTAGAGGAGAATAATGATCTAGCTCCTCGTTCAGTTGTTTTGTTGGTTTATTGTTGCTTTTAGGATTTGAAGTTTATAATTTAGTTTAGGGTTTAAAGTTGTGGGTTATTTTGTGTTTAGGTTAAAGTTTTAGGGTTTCAGGGTTAGTTTGTAGGGTTTAGAGCTTACGATTTAAGATATAAGATTTATGGTTTAGTTTTTTGGGTTTAGGAAAAAAAACTCAAAAAAACTATGTTCAACATGAGGCATGAAATGAATGAGTTATCTAATGGAAGAAACATTATATCTATTTTTACCTGGGATAACGGATTCTCACTGTATTTTCCTACTCTTTTAATTGGCTAATTTTACCTAAACCCTAAAACCTAAATTTGATAACTCTATGAAAAAACCTTTGTATTAATGATGAATGATGATGAAGTTGTTCAATTGGAAGTAAAATAAATATTTCTACAAATTAAAACTATCAGATCCTTCTACTAAATCCACCTCTATTCTGCTAACCGAATTTCCCACCTCGTCAACCCCTCTTCTAGATTCGGCGAACCATCGCCGCTCGTCTAACGAGCTTGTGCAGGAATTTCTTTATTATCGAGATACTATTAACGGAGTGCTATTTTTTTTGTAAATAATGAAATGTAGGTGAAATAGCTTGAGTGTTTTGTATGTAAAGTTTCCTAAATATAATTTCAAAACATTTATTTTCTTTTCAATTTGGAGCTTTATGGAGTATTCGAGTTAATTCGCATATAACTCAAAATCGAACCCAAATAAGTATATGATCCAAAAATTTGGCTCATGGCTCTATTCACTAGCCTTGAGCCGAGCTCAATCTAAACAAAATATAAATTTAATTTTTGAGCTATCTATCTCAAACTGAACTCTCCACTCTAATTACAAGGCATAGAAAGTAGAAAAAAATTTAAGCTTTCTTCTTCCCTTATCCTCTCCATTTTTCAAGGGCTCGATCCAAGATCTTTAGGCATGGGCGGATCCCCATTTGGTTGAGGGGGGGCAAATGCCCCCCCTCAAAATTTTTTTTTTTTTAATTTTAGTGAGATATTTTGAAATATTTTGGGTATTTTGGTTATTTTGCCCCCTCTAAAATTTTTTTTTTGCCCTCATTTAATCAATCCTAAGCATCTTTGCCCATCCCCCACAAAAAAAAAATTTTTTTGCCCACCCTGAAAAAAGAAGCTGGATCCGCCCCTGTCTTTAGGGGAAAGGAATGGTGGTGATGAGGGGGATTAGGACATAGGCTTGCTAATTTTTTGATTTATGACATGTTTTTCCTTAACCTCATGTAATTAAATCTTGTAATCATCCGTACTAATTTTGCTTAGCCTTTATGGTTTGGTGAGCCTTCCTGGTTCCATGTGACTCAACTTAAACTCCAGGTTAGCTTTGCTTACTTTTGGCTCACCAATTTGAGCCCTGTATAACTCGGTCATCTTTTTAGCCAATCTTAATTCTGAGAAAAACCTCCTGGATCATATTAAATTGCAAAAGATTTATTAATTGAACTTGATCATCTGAATCGTTCCATCTTGGTTGTATCTTTTCAATCTAACAGGCCGACCAATCTGGTACAATAATAGAGATACTTGCAGAGGATGGAAAGCAAGTCAGTGTTGACACGGTATGCCTCTTTACATAGTGAAATTATTCTGTGCGGATGTCGAACGTCATTCAGAGACCAATCAGAATTCATCAGGTCACCCCTTGTTCGGTACCCGGCTTAGTACTATTCGGTACCATGGCACGGTACCGCTCGATACCCGGCTCGGTAACGTTAATGTGGCGCATTCTGATTGGCCTTCGGACCGTAAACTATGTTCGATGTCTGAACATAATAATTTCTGGCCTCTTACCCACTCTTTCTTCTTATCAAATGCCTCATGATTCTTACCTTAAACATATTCTTCCAGCCATTGCTTATTATCGGGCCCTGAAGGACAGGAAATACATGGAACCAGCAGCTCAGAACTAAAATTTCCAGATAAGTTTATAATGGCTCTTCCCATGGTGAAAACTCAATTGTTTCAGAAGTCCGGTCTTTCTACAATCATACAGTGGATGAAACTCTCATGTTGAAAAATCAAAATTTAGTGAACATTTGTAGCTTTCTTTGATCTGGTTCTATATGTTCTACATGTTTTTTACTGTCTGCTACGTCTCTTTCTTTCCAGTTATGGTTTGCAACAAATTTTGTTATATGAGTATTGATATTAGAGTGCTGCGACTTGTGAAGACTTTATTAACGGATTTGCTTTGTATTCGAAGACATTAACACTGTTATTATTTAATATTTTGTTCATGGGAAAAACTATGTTTTCTCCATCTATTTCTTAATTATCTATTATATTTTGCACAAAAAGTTAATGAATGTTGAATTTCAAAGAGATTATAGGCTTGGATATGTGACATCTATGCAATTTTATTATTTATATTAAAGTAATACTCAATTTATGTATCATAAATTTACAATTAATTGTCAGTGGATTCTCATGATTTTAATATGCGAAATATATATTTCAAAATAATAATAAAAAGTCTTTAGATGCATCTATATATATAATTTTTACTTAACATTTAAAAATGGAGGAATGCATGGGCCTGTTGATAGAAAATACTCTCTAAACCTAAACAAAAATTCTATAAAATAGTGATGATGCATTAATACTTTTATGGCATAGAATATATTGGTCATTAAAAGAGAAGCATAAAATCAAGTTAATTGTTGTAGATATGCAGATGCTTAGGTGGATGAGTGGCTTCTTTCTTATAGACATAATGCGAAATGAATATATATATATATATATATGATAGGTTGGATTAACTTTAATGGTAGATAAGATTAGAGAGTTGATTAGATGGTTTGAATTAGGGGTGTCAAAATGGATTTTTAGGTTGGGTTTCAGTCTATCTTGAAATTGAATTGTTTTCAACCTCCTAACTTGAACTTGACTTGGGCCTAATTTGGTTTGACCTGACCTAACACGTCGATTGTAAGGCAGCCGCACACGAGTGAGTGCGGGCGCTAGCACTGGCTGTGAAAACTCAAGTTTTTTTTAATAATTTTTTTTTTATCTACAGCAGTCAATAATTTTTTCGGGTAGGAGTCGTACTAGAAATGGTGTAGGTGTCATTATAGATAAGAGTTTAAAGGATAATGTTAATAAAATTAATAGGATTGGTGATAGAATTATAGCTTTAAAGATTGTTGTTGAGGATAAGATTGTTAATATTATAAGTGCTTATGCTCCTCAGGTAGGTTTGGATATAAGTTCTAAATTAAATTTTTGGAATGATTTAGAAGAATTAATACAAAATATACCTCTTGAAGAAAGAGTTTTTATTGGAGGAGATTTAAATGGACATGTTGGTAAAGAGGTAGTTGATTTTAAAAGCATTCATGGTGGCCATGGATTTGGAACGACGAATGAAGGTGGCAAGACCATATTAGATTTTTGTTTAGCTTATGATTTTTCAATTGCTAATACCTTATTTAAGAAAAGGAATGAGCATCTCATCACTTATAAAAATGGATGTAGTACAACCCAGATTGACTATTTTCTTATTAGAAAATTAAACCGTTTAGATTGCAAAGATTGTAAAGTTATTCCGAGTGAAAATTTATGTACCCAACATCGATTATTAGTTTTGGACTTTAAGATAAAGGGGCATAAAATAAAAAATAAAGTAAAACGTTTTTCAAGGATTAGATGGGGGCATTTAAAGAATATTAACAAAAATATTTTTGAAAATAAGATTTTAGATCTTAAGATTTTGTCTGTGCATGAGGATGCTAATGTTATGTGGGAAAAAGTGGCTAGTGATATTAAGAATATTGCAAAAGATGTGCTTGGAGTATCTAAGGGAAAAGCTCCTAATAGTAAAAATAGTTGGTGGTGGAATCCAATTGTGCAAGAAAAGATTAAAAATAAGAAGATTTGTTATAAAAATTGGTTTAATTTTAAAAATTCTGATAATTGGGAATTATATAAAGTGGCTCGTAAGGATTCTAAGAAAGCAATATGCGATGCAAAGACATTAGCTTTTAGCGATTTATATAATAGATTAAATACTAAGGAGGGAGAAAGATATATGTATAAGTTAGCCAAACAAAGAGATAGGAGTAGTAAGGATTTAGTTCAAGTGAAGTGTATTAAGGATGAAGATCAAAAAATACTTTTCTTAGAAGATGATATTCAACAAAGATGGATGAGATATTTTGCTAAACTTTTTAATGAAGAGTGTGAAAATAAGATTGACTATAGTGACCTTAGCACCCTAAATGAAAGTAAAGATTTCTGTTTTTATCGGCGTATTAGTAAAACTGAAGTTAGAGAGGCTTTAAATAGAATGAAGGGTGGAAAAGCTGTTGGACCTGATGATATTCCAATAGAGGTGTGGAAATGCTTAGGAGATGAAGGGATTTCTTGGCTTACTAAACTTTTTAATACTATTTTGAAGACTAAAAAGATGCCAGATGAGTGGAGAATGAGTGTATTAATTCCTATTTTTAAGAATAAAGGCGATGCACAGGATTGCACGAATTATAGAGGTATTAAGTTAATGTGTCATACTTTAAAATTATGGGAGCGAGTTATAGAGCATAGGTTGCGGCGTGATACTAATGTTTCTCAAAATCAATTTGGATTCATGCCGGGTAGGTCGACTATGGAAGCCATACATTTATTCAGAGGTTTGATGGAAAAATATAGAGGAAATAAGGAGGATCTACATATGATATTTATTGATTTAGAAAAAGCATATGATAAAGTTCCAAGAGAAGTGCTATGGAGAGTTCTTGATAAGAAAGGAGTCAATAATGCTTATATTCAAATCATTAAAGATATGTATGCAGGAGCTATTACTTGTGTTCAAACACAAGGTGGATTGACCAAGTATTTCCCTATTTCGGTTGGGTTACATCAAGGATCAGCCTTAAGCCCATATCTATTTGCTTTAGTCATGGATGTTCTCACTAGACATTTGCAAGATGATGTACCTTGGTGTATGCTTTTTGCTGATGATATTCTTCTTGTTGATAAGACTAGAGAGGGAGTTGAAGGTAAACTTGAATTATGGAGGTCAACCTTAGAGTCTAAAGGTTTTCGCTTGAGTAGATCTAAAACGGAATATATGGAGTGTAATTTTAGCAGTAATAGTCCTAGTGAGGGGATTGTGACTTTGGGCGATCAAGTCATTAATAAGAGTACACGTTTTAGATATCTTGGATCTATTGTTCAGAGTGATGGTGAAATAGATGGGGATATTATCAGCAGAATTCAAGTTGGATGGTTGAAGTGGAGGAATGCATCGGGCTTGTTATGTGATAGAAATGTACCCCTCAAACTTAAGGGAAAATTCTATAAGATGGTAGTGAGGCCTGCAATGCTTTATGGTGCCGAATGTTGGCCATTAAAAGAGAAGCATAATAATAAGTTAAGTGTGGCAGAGATGAGGATGCTCAGGTGGATGAGTGGCTTTACCCTTAGAGATAAGATACGAAATGAGCATATACGTGAAAAGGTTGGAGTAGCTCCAGTAGAAGATAAAATTAGAGAGAGTCGCCTTAGATGGTTTGGCCACATAAAACGACGGCCTTTCGATGACCCGGTTAGGAGAGTAGAGGTATTAGATTTGACTTATATTAAGAAAGGTAGGGGTAGACCTAAAAAGACTTGGTTAGAAAATATTAGGAATGACCTTTCTTTATTAGATTTAAACAAGAATTTGACTTTTAATAGAACACAATGGAGAAAAAGGATTCATGTAGCCGACCCCACATAGTGGGATAAAGGCTTGATGTTGTTGTTGTTGTTGTACAGTATTTTTCAGTATTATATTAGTATCAATATTAGTGGTCAAAATGTATTTTTTATGATATTTTCTTTTTGAAAAATTTATTTTTTTTTTAATGATGATGAAAATTTGGGTGATGCTTTATTTTGCTTTCGAGTTGGAATTTAAGCAGCATAAATTAGAAGTTTTTATTTTTTATTTTTTTTCATAAATTAATTGATTTGTTTTTTTTTCTGATTTCCTTTTCTTGCAAAATTTTCACTTTTTATTCATAATATATTCAATTAAACAGCTCCTCAAAGATTTAATTTTTCTTCTGAGGCAGAGAAGCAGTTATATCTCTGTGCATGTGTTTTTTGTTGGGAGCAAATTCTAAATAATTAATAAAATAAAGTAAAAATTCAGAATATTTTATTTTCAATTGTATTTTTTTTAGTTCACTAATATTTGTCATATTATGTTGTCAGTTTATATCAGCATTGGAGTTCTGAGATTTAAATTTTATATTAAATGATATTGTTCAAATGATAAAAAAGTATTCAAGTCAGGCACATTATATTTGATTAGTAATGATACCTCACAAAAAAACATCTTAATCAGACAAGAATCTCAAAACATTTAAGAGTTGACTGTCAAGCTCCAATTTCAACAAATTCAATTGTCAAATTAAACGTATCAAATTTACGAACCCAACGCGTCAAAATCGGTCCAATCGGAGCCCAAATAGGTACAAATTAAGGGATCAAAGCATATTTGGAAGATTTAAAATATAAATTGGTTGAGCAAATGATATTCAAATATAACATGCTTATGATTGAATCGAGTGCCTCGACTAGACAAATCCAATGAACCCAAGAATGTAATTTTGATATCATTAAGACATTTAAATGTTAAATAAATACTATATGATTGAATCAATATAAGGCATATGATGGAGGACCCCAAAATTATTCTAGATCTTCTCCATATTTAAGGACCATGTCACTCGCAAAAATTTATAAATAGGTTCATACTCTTTTCATAAAAGGACATTTTGACTAGAGATTGAAGAGAGCTCTGAGGTTTCAAAGATTCTGCAGTTCTACCCAAGCACCACCACAAACACTGTCACCGACCGACCATCGTCGGACCTCATCTCGTCTGCCTACAGCAGCCACACCTCCGCTTGGTGGTCGGTTGTCATTGGACCTCCACATGGCTACCATCGACACACCACTTCGACCACCATCACCTATTAACTACAGTCCCTCTGTCCACCATCACTTACAGACTAAAATCCCACCGACCATCGTTGCCAAGCTATGACCGGCTCGGCCTCTGTCGCTCGCCGATTATGATCTCTCCGACCACGGTCTCCTACTAACGACGATCCCATCGACCACCATCGTTTGCTTACTACCGTCACTTCAAACATTGTCGCTTGACTACTGTCCTTCCGATCTTTGTTGCCCGTTAAGTACGTTCCCTCTAACTTCTGCATGTCACTCACAGAGTAGATCCCTTCAACCACCGTCATCTGCCAGCTAT